TCGCTTTCCTTACTCACTCACTCGCTCATCCACTCACTCGCTTTCCTTACTCACTCACTCACTCATCCACTCACTCGCTTTCCTTACTCACTCACTCACTCATCCACTCACTCGCTTTCCTTACTCACTCACTCACTCATCCACTCACTCGCTTTCCTTACTCACTCACTCATCCACTCACTCGCTTTCCTTACTCACTCACTCACTCACTCATCCACTCACTCGCTTTCCTTACTCACTCACTCGCTCATCCACTCACTCGCTTTCCTTACTCACTCACTCGCTCATCCACTCACTCGCTTTCCTTACTCACTCACTCACTCATCCACTCACTCGCTTTCCTTACTCACTCACTCACTCATCCACTCACTCGCTTTCCTTACTCACTCACTCACTCATCCACTCACTCGCTTTCCTTACTCACTCACTCACTCATCCACTCACTCGCTTTCCTTACTCACTCACTCATCCACTCACTCGCTTTCCTTACTCACTCACTTACTCACTCATCCACTCACTCGCTTTCCTTACTCACTCACTCACTCATCCACTCACTCGCTTTCCTTACTCACTCACTCACTCATCCACTCACTCGCTTTCCTTACTCACTCACTCACTCATCCACTCACTCGCTTTCCTTACTCACTCACTCATCCACTCACTCGCTTTCCTTACTCACTCACTCACTCATCCACTCACTCGCTTTCCTTACTCACTCACTCATCCACTCACTCGCTTTCCTTACTCACTCACTCACTCATCCACTCACTCATCCACTCACTCGCTTTCCTTACTCACTCACTCATCCACTCACTCGCTTTCCTTACTCACTCACTCACTCATCCACTCACTCGCTTTCCTTACTCACTCACTCATCCACTCACTCGCTTTCCTTACTCACTCACTCACTCATCCACTCACTCATCCACTCACTCGCTTTCCTTACTCACTCACTCATCCACTCACTCGCTTTCCTTACTCACTCACTCACTCATCCACTCACTCGCTTTCCTTACTCACTCACTCGCTCATCCACTCACTCGCTTTCCTTACTCACTCACTCACTCATCCACTCACTCGCTTTCCTTACTCACTCACTCACTCATCCACTCACTCGCTTTCCTTACTCACTCACTCACTCATCCACTCACTCGCTTTCCTTACTCACTCATCCACTCACTCATCCACTCACTCGCTTTCCTTACTCACTCACTCACTCATCCACTCACTCGCTTTCCTTACTTACTCACTCACTCATCCACTCACTCGCTTTCCTTACTCACTCACTCACTCACTCATCCATTCACTCACTCATCAAAAGCCCACCCACAAACCAACTCATGAATGCAAACAGTGCCATCCCTCACCAATCCACTCGCTCACTCATCAAAAGCCCACCCATGAACTCACTCATTAATGCAAACAGTGCCATCCTCTCCCCTCCACTCCGCTCCACTCCACTCCACTCCACTCCACTCCACTCCACTCCACTCAGCAAGTTTATCAATAAGGCCCTGTTTGTCATGCTTGCATCAGGACTTGCATAAAGTCAGGGAAACTTCCATGCTAAAGTCTGAGATATTGACAAATTATTAAATCCCCCAAAGTCCTGAAGTGTTTTGTTGAAGTCCGATAACTTTGCCATGTGATGTTGTTCCAGTGGTTATAAGCAGCCACACGGAAATTATGTTGTTGTTTAAATACGATCGAACTGAGGCAAGGAAGCCCTCTGTTCTCAAGTCTTGGTTCATCAAACTGTGTCCTCACAACGAGTTGTTTCCACGATATTGGATCTGTTCGAGCACCATGAAGGAAATTACTGGTGAATTATGGGTAACATGCCCCGCTTGCGGCCATTCACAGAGCTGAGTTGACAAAGATAGAATTACTTTGTAAGCAGATTATTTTGTTGGAGTTTCTCATTAAATCCCCACAAAGAAAATTTTGTATTTTTGAATATATTTTTCCTTTTTAAGTTCCTCTGAGCTCTGTCTCTATGAATGATGATGAAGGTTTAGTAATAATGTAAAATATTTTATTCATTGTAATCCACACATGACTTTCGTGATGTTCAGACCCACTGATTTCATGGCAGCCTCGACCCATCAAACGCCTGTGGTCAAACGCCTGTGGTCAACCATATGAAGATGACCTTTTCTAGAATGTTATGTTTGTTTCTTTGTTTCTTTGTTTATGCCACACGCAGCAATATTCCAGCTATATGTGGGCAGCCTGTAAATAAACGAATCTGGACCAGACAATCCAGTTATTCATATTGTGAGCAACAATCCATGCCATTGGGGAACAATGACTCGCCATCAACCGCTGTCAAGTCACTGAGACTGACCACTTGACCCATCTGATTACCTCTCATGACCAGATTAGGTTGCGGGGGAGCTATTCTAACAAAGAATCCTTCACTAGAATGTCCACACGTCTAGGCCTTCCATATTTCCATGTATATATTACAAACACATCAATGATATTTTATAAAATATTAACCCTTTCACTCCTGAAACAACCAAAATTGATTAATTGCTTCATTTAAGAGAGGGGCAGTGGGGTAGCCTAGTTGTCAAAGCATTTGCTTGTCATGCTGAAGACCCGGGTTCGATTCCCAACATGGTGTCTGGTGTCCCCTGCCACGATATTGCTTGAATATTGCTTAAAGTGGTGTAAAACAATACTCACTCACTCACTCATTTAAGAGAACAAACGCTGTACCTAAGTGTAATTAAACCTTCCCTCAACTTGGTCTATGTTCTGTGATGAGACACGTTGTGTAGTGACTATAGTCTGTTCAACTAAACCTTCCCTCAACTTGGTCTATGTTCTGTGATGAGACACGTTGTGTAGTGACTATAGTCTGTTCAACTAAACCTTCCCTCAACTTGGTCTATGTTCTGTGATGAGACTCGTTGTGTAGTGACTATAGTCTGTTCAACTAAACCATCAACTGCTGTCAAGTCACTGAGACTGACCACTTGACCCATCTGATTACCTCTCATGACCAGATTAGGTTGCTGGGGAGCTATTCTAACACAGAATCCTTCACTAGAATGTCCACACGTCTAGGCCTTCTATATTTCCATGTATATATTACAAACACATCAATGATATTTTATAAAATATTAACCCTTTCACTCCTGAAACAACCAAAATTGATTAATTGCTTCATTTAAGAGAGGGGCAGTGGGGTAGCCTAGTTGTCAAAGCATTTGCTTGTCATGCTGAAGACCCGGGTTCGATTCCCAACATGGTGTCTGGTGTCCCCTGCCACGATATTGCTTGAATATTGCTTAAAGTGGTGTAAAACAATACTCACTCACTCATTTAAGAGAACAAACGCTGTACCTAAGTGTAATTAAACCTTCCCTCAACTTGGTCTATGTTCTGTGATGAGACACGTTGTGTAGTGACTATAGTCTGTTCAAATAAACCTTCCCTCAACTTGGTCTATGTTCCGTGATGAGACACGTTGTGTAGTGACTATAGTCTGTTCAACTAAACCTTCCCTCAACTTGGTCTATGTTCCGTGATGAGACACGTTGTGTAGTGACTATAGTCTGTTCAACTAAACCTTCCCTCAACTTGGTCTATGTTCCGTGATGAGACACGTTGTGTAGTGACTATAGTCTGTTCAACTAAACCTTCCCTCAACTTGGTCTATGTTCCGTGATGAGACACGTTGTGTAGTGACTATAGTCTGTTCAACTAAACCTTCCCTCAACTTGGTCTATGTTCTGTGATGAGACACGTTGTGTAGTGACTATAGTCTGTTCAACTAAACCTTCCCTCAACTTGGTCTATGTTCTGTGATGAGACACGTTGTGTAGTGACTATAGTCTGTTGAGTCAGATTTGGCCTGTGGTCATTCACTATGCAACATATGATGTACTTTGTTATGTTTCATTCAGTATCATGTATCAATGCACATGTTGTTATGTTTCGTTCAGTATCATGTATCAATGCACATGTTGTTATGAATGTGATTAGGTTCCAGCAGTTGAGGGCTACAGGTGTTGAGGGTAGTCAGTGCAAGTGGTGAAGGTTGTTAGGTGTTTAATGAACATGTTTGGTGCAGCTGTTGAAGGTGGCAGGTGTTCAGTGAAGGTGTCAGGTGTTCAATGAAGGTGCCAGGTGTTCAGTGAAGGTGTTCGGTGAAGGTGGCAGGTGTTCAGTGAAGGTGTCGGATTTTCAGTGACTGTGAAGGTTTTTGTAGGTGTCACAGGTGTTCAGTGAAAGTGTCAGGTGTTCAATGAAGGTGTCACAGGTGTTCAGTGAAGGTGTCACATGTGTTTAGTGAATGTGTGTGGTGTTAAGTGAAGGTGTTCGGGGAAGGTGTCACTTGTGTTCAGTGAAGGTGTCAGGTGTTCAGTGAAGCTGGCAGGTGTTGCATGTGTCCAGTCTGGTATAGAAGGTGTCAAGTGTTCAGTGAAGCTGGCAGGTGTTGCATGTGTCCAGTCTGGTATAGAAGGTGTCAAGTGTTCAATGGAGGTGGCAGGTGTTGCATGTGCCCAGTCTGGTATAGAAGGTGTCAAGTGTTCAATGGAGGTGGCAGGTATTGCATGTGTCCAGTCTGGTATAGAAGGTGTCAAGTGTTCAGTTAAGCTGGCAGGTGTTGCATGTGTCCATTCTGGTATAGAAGGTGTCAAGTGTTCAGTGAAGCTGGCAGGTATTGCATGTGCCCAGTCTGGTATAGAAGGTGTCAAGAGTTCAATGGAGGTGGCAGGTGTTGCATGTGTCCATTCTGGTATAGAAGGTGTCAAGTGTTCAATGGAGGTGGCAGGTGTTGCATGTGTCCAGTCTGGTATAGAAGGTGTCAAGTGTTCAATGGAGGTGGCAGGTGTTGCATGTGCCCAGTCTGGTATAGAAGGTGTCAAGTGTTCAATGGAGGTGGCAGGTGTTGCATGTGCCCAGTCTTGTATAGAAGGTGTCAAGTGTTCAATGGAGGTGGCAAAGGTGTCAACTTTCAGTGCAGTTGTCTGCTTCTGTTTCAGGCAGCCCCTTCTGGTGCCTCCTGGACATCGTGCCCATCAAGAATGAGAAGCGACAAGTTGTCCTGTTCCTGGTGTCCCACAAAGACGTAACACGAGACAAAGCCATCGCCATGGATATACCGGGTACAGACATCAATGGTAGGTCATTACTTATCTGAATGCCATCATTCCATCATTCACATTCTGGCCAAAATCTGTAGAACTTCAGAAGAGAATAAAATAACTCCTGGGTGTCCTTTCTGATAAAAGCAGAACTGTCCACAAGTTGATAACGTTTCACTCTGTATTACAATGTCTGCCAGGGGGCTGTTCAACCTTTTTGAATCAGATGAACACCATTGGTCTTAAGTTTTAAGACATTAACTAAAACTTCCCTTAAAAAATGTTCCCATCTTCTAACAGATTTTCAGAAGAAAAACAAAAACATAAAAATATTGTATAAAAAATGTGAAGGCACACGATGTTCCTTGCTACATCTTGTTATACCTTGTGATGCAATTCAGTTCAGAGTACACAGCATGTTGATTTGACCTGTTATTGATTGAGTAGAACTGTAAAACAATGGAAAAAGAAGTCACTGTCAGCTCCATTGTATATCACCATGTCCGTATCTCTCCAGGAGTTATATCACCATGTCTGTATCTCTCCAGGAGTGTACATCAGCTATAGCTCCCTACTATATCACAATGTCTGTATCTCTCCAGGTGTTGACATCAGCTATAGCTCCATGCTATATCACAATGTCTGTATCTCTCCAGGAGTGTACATCAGCTATAGCTCCATGCTATATCACAATGTCTGTATCTCTCAAGGAGTGTACATCAGCTATAACTCCATGCTATATCACAATGTCTGTATCTCTCCAGGAGTTGACATCAGCTATAGCTCCCTACTATATCACAATGTCTGAATCTCTCCAGGAGTGTACATCAGCTATAGCTCCCTGCTATATCACAATGTCCATATATCTCCAGGAGTTGATATCAGCTATAGCTCCATGCTATATCACAATGTCTGTATCTCTCCAGGAGTTGACATCAGCTATAGCTCCCTGCTATATCACAATGTCGGTATCTCTCCAGGAGTTGATATCAGCTATAGCTCCCTGCTATATCACAATGTCCATATCTCTCCAGGAGTTGATATCAGCTATAGCTCCCTACTATATCACAATGTCTGTATCTCTCCAGGTGTTGACATCAGCTATAGCTCCCTACTATATCACAATGTCCGTATCTCTCCAGGAGTGTACATCAGCTATAGCTCCCTACTATATCACAATGTCTGTATCTCTCCAGGTGTTGACATCAGCTATAGCTCCCTACTATATCACAATGTCTGTATCTCTCCAGGAGTGTACATCAGCTATAGCTCCCTACTATATCACAATGTCTGTATCTCTCCAGGAGTGTACATCAGCTATAGCTCCCTACTATATCACAATGTCTGTATCTCTCCAGGAGTGTACATCAGCTATAGCTCCCTGCTATATCACAATGTCTGTATCTCTCCAGGAGTGTACATCAGCTATAGCTCCATGCTATATCACAATGTCTGTATCTCTCCAGGAGTGTACATCAGCTATAGCTCCCTGCTATATCACAATGTCCGTATCTCTCCAGGTGTTGACATCAGCTATAGCTCCATGCTATATCACAATGTCTGTATCTCTCCAGGAATTGATATCATCTATAGCTCCCTACTATATCACAATGTCTGTATCTCTCCAGGAGTGTACATCAGCTATAGCTCCCTGCTATATCACAATGTCTGTATCTCTCCAGGAGTGTACATCAGCTATAGCTCTCTGCTATATCACAATGTCTGTATCTCTCCAGGGGTGTACATCAGCTATAGCTCTCTGCTATATCACAATGTCTGTATCTCTCCAGGAGTTGATATCAGCTATAGCTCCATGCTATATCACCATGTCCATATCTCTCCAGGAGTGTACATCAGCTATAGCTCCATGCTATATCACAATGTCTGTATCTCTCCAGGAGTTGATATCAGCTATAGCTCCATGCTATATCACCATGTCCGTATCTCTCCAAGAGTTGACATCAGCTATAGCTCCATGCTATATCACAATGTCTGTATCTCTCCAGGAATTGATATCAGCTATAGCTCCCTACTATATCACAATGTCTGTATCTCTCCAGGAGTGTACATCAGCTATAGCTCCCTGCTATATCACAATGTCTGTATCTCTCCAGGAGTGTACATCAGCTATAGCTCCCTGCTATATCACAATGTCTGTATCTCTCCAGGAGTGTACATCAGCTATAGCTCTCTGCTATATCACTATGTCTGTATCTCTCCAGGAGTGTACATCAGCTATAGCTCCATGCTATATCACAATGTCTGTATCTCTCCAGGAATTGATATCAGCTATAGCTCCCTACTATATCACAATGTCTGTATCTCTCCAGGAGTGTACATCAGCTATAGCTCCCTGCTATATCACAATGTCTGTATCTCTCCAGGAGTGTACATCAGCTATAGCTCCCTGCTATATCACAATGTCTGTATCTCTCCAGGAGTGTACATCAGCTATAGCTCTCTGCTATATCACAATGTCTGTATCTCTCCAGGAGTGTACATCAGCTATAGCTCTCTGCTATATCACAATGTCCATATCTCTCCAGGAGTTGATATCAGCTATAGCTCCCTGCTATATCACAATGTCTGTATCTCTCCAGGAGTGTACATCAGCTATAGCTCCCTGCTATGTCACAATGTCCATATCTCTCCAGGAGTTGATATCAGCTATAGCTCCCTGCTATATCACAATGTCTGTATCTCTCCAGGAGTGTACATCAGCTATAGCTCCCTGCTATATCACAATGTCCGTATCTCTCCAGGAGTGTACATCAGCTATAGCTCCATGCTATATCACAATGTCTGTATCTCTCCAGGAGTTGATATCAGCTATAGCTCCATGCTATATCACCATGTCCGTATCTCTCCAAGAGTTGACATCAGCTATAGCTCCATGCTATATCACAATGTCTGTATCTCTCCAGGAATTGATATCAGCTATAGCTCCCTACTATATCACAATGTCTGTATCTCTCCAGGAGTGTACATCAGCTATAGCTCCCTACTATATCACCATGTCTGTATCTCTCCAGGAGTGTACATCAGCTATAGCTCCATGCTATATCACAATGTCTGTATTTCTCCAGGAATTGATATCAGCTATAGCTCCATGCTATATCACAATGTCTGTATCTCTCCAGGAGTGTACATCAGCTATAGCTCCCTGCTATATCACAATGTCTGTATCTCTCCAGGAGTGTACATCAGCTATAGCTCCCTGCTATATCACAATGTCTGTATTTCTCCAGGAGTTGATATCAGCTATAGCTCCATGCTATATCACAATGTCTGTATCTCTCCAGGAGTGTACATCAGCTATAGCTCTCTGCTATATCACAATGTCTGAATCTCTCCAGGAGTATACATCAGCTATAGCTCCCTGCTATATCACAATGTCTGTATCTCTCCAGGAGTGTACATCAGCTATAGCTCTCTGCTATATCACCATGTCTGTATCTCTTGAAAGCAGCAGTGGACATTGTGGTGAGATTGTCAGTGTTGAAAGCAGCAGTGGACATTGTGGTGAGATTGTCAGTGTTGGAGCAGTGGACATTGTGGTGAGATTGTCAGTGTTGAAAGCAGTAGTGGACATTGTGGTGAGATTGTCAGTGTTGGAGCAACAGTGGACACTGTGGTGAGATTGTCAGTGTTGGAGCAGTAGTGGACATTGTGGTGAGATTGTCAGTGTTGAAAGCAGTTGTGGACACTGTGGTGAGATTGTCAGTGTTGGAGCAACAGTGGACATTGTGGTGAGATTGACAGTGTTGGAAGCAGCAGTGGACATTGTGGTGAGATTGTCAGTGTTGGAGCAGTGGACATTGTGGTGAGATTGACAGTGTTCGAAGCAGCAGTAGACATTGTGGTGAGATTGTCATTGTTGAAAGCAGCGAGGACATTGTGGTGAGATTGTCAGTCTTGAAAGCAGCGAGGACAAATATCATTGAGAGGGAGGGAACAAACAAGAAGAATGTGTTTTGCTTTTTTAGAAAATACAACCACCATGTCACAACAGGACAGACAGAGTGATCCCCACAAACCGTATTCATGTTGGGGTTCAAACCTGAACCTTGCTCTGCATGGTTCACTGCCCACAGAGCCACCCACCCTTCCATGAATGAAGCTTGCTTTGAACCTGTTCAGTGTCATCACTGAGCCTGCTGATAATCTTTTAAGCACTTTGATTTTTATTAAAACAAGAAAATATTCATGCATCTTTAAACACAAAATATAATCAATGAAAAATACCATACGCAAAACATGCACTCTGATTATTGAAACAGTCACAGAATGGTATTGATTTGTGGTGTTATATAAACAAGGAAATTATAGTTGCCCATTACTGTAGCGATGTATCTTACATTCCTCGCTCCATCGACTTCATCGACTTGTTGTTCACCCTGGTTTGGTATCAACATAATCTTCTTGTCCACTGCGTTACTTGGGCAGGATTTTACCAGTTTCCTCGTCATAGCTCGGGCAGGATCTTACACAAGTTTCCATTTTCTGTGACGTAACACCAGCAGGATTTCACCAGTTACCATCATGTCCTCGATCACGGAAGCTTTAATCCATGCTGCATTAACTCATCATTTACATCCCAATAAATAACACCCATCACCCCTTCAGTTCTAATTTGGATCAATCCTATGATGGAAACTGAGACAGTCCATTTTGACATGAGGGGTGATGTTTGGAAACAAGGACAGAATGTGCATGAAAGTTTAAAATCAAATCATTGCGGCTCACCTCAGAAAAGTTTACCTCACGCAAAATGGATTCATAAGATGTTTTCTCACTCGTCTAAGGTGCATTAACTGTTAACATTGTTGAAACATGTGAATGCAGGCAGCTTTTTTCGGACACTCAGATGAAGGTTTTATATTGGAGAGTTTGGTGGCTCGTTCAGTGCTGGTGCGTACATACAAACAGGATCACCTGTATGGATTTAGTGGTGTCGCAATGCTGCAACATAGCTCATCTGTGGAGGATTTGACTGAGGAGCTTATCGGTAAGAAACAAATTGATTATTACCAACT